CCCATACACTTCCCTCAGTCCTCTGCTGGGAATACTCCCTCAATAAATCACTTTCACAAGAATTTCCATCTCAGATTCTAGGGAACCTGACTGACCTCAGACAAATTCCTAGGTTGTTGCTTGAGTGACTGGGTGACATCAATGGCCATTTATTGAGAAAGGAAAACAGTAAAAAGAGCCCATTAAGGGAAGGTCTTATTTATTCTTGATTCCCCAGTTTCTAGCACAGAATCTGAATTCTTAATGAGTGAAAAAAATACATTCAATTTTGAAGCCTGAGCTAGAGGTGACTTAGGACTCAAGACTGTCAAGTAGACAGTGGGATATATCAGTTCAGATCTCAGAAGATAGGTCTGAATCAGAGATATACATTTAGAAATTATAGTGATTAAAGTCATGAGTCCAATTGAAATCATCCAAGATATGCAAATAAAAGAAATTAAAAATATAGAAACCTGGGGAACACTTCATTTCAGGCACCCACTCCCATGGTCATGTTCTTGACTTTGTCATCAATGATAACTACATTATTTACTAATCAGTATTTTAAGCAAACTACCTATTATCCTTCTGGCTTACTTTAGTCTGTAGCAAATATCATACACAATAGTGAAATATTGAAAACTTTCCCTCTGTAGTTGAGAATGAGAGAAGGATTCTGGAATACCAGTTTTATTACTCAACATTTACTGGAGGTCCTGGTTAGTACAATAAGGCAAGAAAAAGAAAAAAGGCATAAAAATTTGAAAGTAAGAAAACAAACTGTCATTATTTTGATTCTGAATGCAGAAAAACTCAAAAGAATCTATAGGACTGGAATACATGTGCAAGTTCAAGTGAGTTTTTCCGTGGGGGAAGAATTGGCAATCCTACCTTGCACCACATGCAAAAATTAATTCCAGATGTATATCTAAATATGGAAAGTAAAGAGCCAAAGCTTCCAGAAGAAAACATAGGATATTATTTTTATAACTTTGGGACAGGCAAAAGTTTTAAATAGGACACCTAAAAATATTAACCATAAAGGAAAAGATTCATAAGTTTGGATGCATTAAAATTAAGAACTGTGATCATCAAAAGATACCATTAAGTGAAAAGGCAAGAGTGGGAGAAGATATTTGCAATACATATAATCAACAAAGGGCTTATGTCCAGAATATATAAAGAACTTCTACAAATTAATAAGAATAAAAACAATCCAATAGAAACTTAGGCAAGAAAACTGAACAGACACTTTACAGTAGAGTGCATCAAAATGGCCAATAAATAAATGAAAAAGTGCTCAACCTCATGAGTCACCAGAGAAATAAGAATTAAAACCACAAGAAGTTGTTACTAATCATTGACCATAAGAGCTAAATTTAAAAAGACCAATCACTGTCAAGCGTTGAAAAAAATATAGAACAAAGAAAACACTCACACATTACCTGTTGGGGTGTTAACTTGCTCAGATAGTTAGGAAAGCAGCTTGGCAGTCCCTCCTAAGGCTGACCTTCTGCATACCCCATTACCTGGCCATTCTGCTCTTAGGTGTATGCCCAATGGAAATATACATATGTGCACCAAAAGACATGTATGTACAATGTTTTTAGCAGCATTACTGTTGCTGCTATACCCCAAACAGGATATAAATGTCTGTCAACAGTAGACTGGTGAAATTGTAGTATCATTGCATGTAGTATTTATATACAATGTAATACTATAGAGAAACAAAAATGGATTAACTACAGTTATATAAAACAATATGGATAATGAATCTGATAAACAGTGTTGAGCAAAAGAAGCCTGAAACAAAAGAACACATATAGTATGATACCATTTATATAAAATTTACAAATGGCTACAACTAACTTATGATGTTAGAAGTCAGGACAGTGGTTACCTTGGGAGCAAGCTGAAGGAGTGACTGGAAGGGGACATGAGGGGAGCCTCTGAAGTGCTACAGCTGCTCTATTTATTACCTGGGAGGTAGTTACAGTGATTGTTCCGTTCATGATAATTCACCAAGCCGTCCAGTTCTGACTTGTGCATGTTTCTGTACGCATGTCACAGCAATAGAAAAGATTTTTTTTTTTTAAACAAGCACAAAAGATCACTTGTAGCTCTCTGGAATAGAGATCCTTGAGGGCTCATGGAATGTCCAGGGGTGAGTCCCAAGCACTTGCATTTTTTGAAAAGTCACAGTAATTCTGGCCTGCACTAGAGGTGAATACCACTGATTGAAATACTTCATGAAACATTGTGGATCTCCTTTCCTTTCCTAGGCAGGCATGGCCAAATGACTCAAGCAGCAACATTTTTTTTTAACAACTATGTACACATCAGTATATTGGTATCAGTGTAACAAAATCACCCCTTAAAGGGAAAAAAAAAAATCCAGCAACCTTCAACTCACCAGTGGGAATACTTCTTCATCACTAACCAAAGGACTTGCCATTTCTTTCATTTGAAATGGCAAAGGTGGCAATGGAGGCGTTGCACTTCTGTTTGGATCACAGTCGTGGCTAAGTCTAAAAGACAAGGAATAGTTGTCATTGTCGCTACCAAGGACACCTGCTCGTTTATGTAGCTAAGGATTTTAACTTCTCTGATGTCTACCTGCGGGAAAATACACCAAACATTTGGGCTTGTTATTGGGGTATTTCTTTGACAAAAGGTGAAGGGATTAAGCAAACAAAACAAAACAAAACTCATAGACCCAGACAGCAGCATGGTGATTACCAGAGGGTAAGGGGGGTGGGAGAAGGCAGACAAGGGTAAAAGGGGGAATACATGATGATGGAAGACTTGACTTGGAGCGGTGAACACGCAATACTGTATACGGACGATGCATTCTAGAATTGCACACTTGAAATCTATATAACTTTATCGACCAGTGTTACCCCAATAAATTCAATATAAAAAAGGAATTCCCAACTGGGAACAGACAGTGGCCAAGGGAGAGATAAAGGGCTATAGAAGAAGTGTGGCACTGGAGGAAGGGGCCAAAGACGGGAGACAGACCTGGGAAGACCACTAGG